AAGGAGGCTGAGAAGTAGAAGAGCTCGCCCCCCTTCCAGCCTGCGCCCCATCCCGAAAGTAGCAGGCAGAGGGGCTAGGATTAATGACCCCCCTCCGACATTGGTGTTGTGTAATGCCAGGTCCATAAATAATAAGTTAGATGAGCTACTTGAGGACTGGCATGACAGGCTCTCGGCCCATTGATGAGATCGCTCCCTGATGCCCTCTGTGCCCCTGCTTTAAGCGGGCTCCTTGGTTACCCAGGAGCTGTGGCTGATGAAACGAGGGCTCAGACGACTAGAGAGATGGTGGCAGCATGCTCGTGATGAAGAAACAAGAGCATCCCGTAGGACATTTATGAGATCCTATGAAATGGCAGTCAAAGTCGCAAAGAGAGAGTTCTACGCGGCCACGGTTGCGTCTGATAGCTCACGCCTGGCACAATTGTTTAGGACTATTCGGTCATTAACAGAGCTGCCACAGGGCAGACCAAATGCTAGGGAATTGGATATCGAATGTGAGGCTTTTGTGAGCTATTTTTCAGATAAAGTCCTGTTGCTCCACCGCGATCTCCCCGCCACAGTTGAGACAGTGAGCGAACTCAAGGCTCCATGCACGTCTTCTGGTTCTATTCTGATTTCAGTCCACTCAGCCTTGAGGAAGTTGACAAATTGCTCTCAACGGTACGTCCAACCACGTGCAGCCTTGATCTGTGCCCTTCATGGCTCATAAAAGCTGGCCATGAGGGGTTTCGAGGTGCCCTCAGGGATATTATCAACAACTCCCTTGCTGAGGGACTGGTCCTGGGGGCACTCAAGGAAGCAATGGTCCATTCTCTCTTGAAAAAACCATCTCTGGATCTGGCCGAATTGGCCAACTATCGGCTGGTCTCCAATTTGCCCTATTTGGGCCTTATTGGGCAAATTACTTGAGAGAGTGGTGGCGATTCAGTTCCAGAGCTTTATGGATGACACTTCCATACTAGACCCATTCCAGTTCGGCTTCCGGCCAGGCCATGGGACTGAGACGGCACTGGTCACCCTCACAGACGGCCTCCGGAGGCATCTGGATCAAGGCTGCATGGCAGTACTGTTGCTGTTGGACCTGTTGGCGGCATTCAACACGGTCGACCATCAGTTACTGATCCACCACCTTGCTGACACTGGGATCCAGGGGCTTGCCTTGCAATAGCTTGTCACCTTCCTCCAAGGTCGGGGACAGAGGGTGGCAATAGGGAAACAGACGTCCCAGAGGTACCCGCTGGTCTGCAGGGTCCCTCAAGGGGCGGTGTTGTCCCCGATATTATTTAACATCTACATGCGCCCCCTTGCCCAGATTGCCCGGAGGCATAGGCTTGGGTGTCACCAATACGCGGATGACGCCCAGCTATATCTGTTGTTGGGTGGTCAGTCTGACTCTACCCCAGATGACCTGGACCAGGCGCTTCAGGTCGTGGCGGGCTGGTTTAGACTGGGCCAATAGAATCCAACGAAGACAGAGGTCCTGTGCCTGAGTCAGAGTGGGTCAGGGGTAGGGATCCCACTACCGACCTTCGGTGGGGTGCCATTGGTGCGAGCGCCGAGGGTTAGGAGCTTGGAGTGCTCCTGGATGCCGCCTTAACAATGGAGGTCCAGGTAGCAATCACTGCCAAGGCAGCCTTTTGCCATCTACGGCTGATTAGGCAGCTGGTTCCCTTCCTCGAACGCAATGACCTGGCAACAGTGATTCATGCTATGGTCACCTCGAGATTAGACTACTCCAACACTCTCTACATGTGGCTGCCCTTGTCTCAAATCCGGAAGCTGCAGCTAATGCAAAATGCAGCAGCCAAGCTGCTGATGGGTCTCTCTATACGAGATCACATCCAGCCTGTACTGAAGGCATTGCACTGGCTGCCAATAGCATACCAGATTCGTTTCAAGATGTTGGTTGTGACCCTTAAAGCCCTATATGACCGGGGGCCTGTCTACCTGAGGGACCACCTTTCCCCGTATGTTCCCCGAAGAGCACTGAGGTCAGGGTCACAAAATCGCCTGGCTCTCCCTGGTCCGAAAGACATCAGATTGGCCACCACTAGAGCCAGGGCCTTCTCAGTGGTGGCTCCACTCTGGTGGAATGAGCTCCCGGAAGACATCAGGGCCCTGCAGGACTTTTTACAGTTCCACAGGGCCTGCAAAATGGAGCTCTTCCACCAGGCTTTCGATTAGGAGCCGCCACTGCTAAATGACTCATCGGAACTGAACATGCTATGCCCATTATGACACAATGTCGGATATTGCCTTCAGATCACTTTATAGATTGCAACGCTGGTTATTGCCTTCTCTTATTGGATTACATCATAGGATCTGTATGCACTAGCACTTTATGTAATTGTTGCTTATGTGAATTTTATCGCATCTTATTGTTTTATTGTATTTAATCTGTCTGTACGCCACCTTGAGCCAGTTCGCCCGGTAAGGCGGGATATAAATAGAAAGTAATAAATAATAATTAATAGATTTCATGACATCCCAGGTAGCAAGATGGATTTTAACATCTGGAAATAAACATTCTGAACTTTTGTGTTGCATTATTGGTTCAGTCCACTTTTCAGAAAACAAGCTCTAACTTTAGAAAATAATGCATAATAATGCGCTATAAAGCTGGCAGGATGATTGCCAGGTCAACTTCCATGCACGTGACATCAGCACATCTAATATGCTGATCCATGTTAAGAGCACAGCTGAGTCCGGTTTTCAGACTGGCAATGCAAAGATTTAAGAAGTGGTAACTTGGGGAATTGGTTATTAGTAGTGCGAATGTTGCTGCTCAATCATTTGTCGGGATCTCCAATCTTTAGAAAGGTAACAATAGATAGGAAGTGTTTGTATATGTGCACATTGTTCGAAAAGCTGGCCTGTGAACCCCAGGGCCAGGATCCTGTGGGTGTGTCTAATGCATTGTTTGTTGTAGGAGCTGTGATTAGTTTCGTCTTCCAACTCTACCCTGCTGCTGTTGCTGCATCTGGTGGTTTCTCCAGAAGCTCCTTCCTCCTAACATATGGGCAGCATATGAAGTTTGAAAATTGAAGAAAGAAATGTCCTGGCCCCACTGGTGGGCCTCCTGATGGCACCTGGTATTTTTGGCCACTGTGTGACAGAGTGTTAGACTGGATGGGCCTTTGGCCTGATCCAACATTGGCGTCTCTTATGTTCTTATGACCTGATAAAGCCTGGTTCACAAACAGAAATCCATTTTAGCTTTGACTTCTGCTCTGCACTGTTATTCTTGGAGCTTACAAATTGCACATAACTATTGTGATGAGCTAAGAATGAAGGGAGGTTGTATTTATGCCAAATGCATGAAAACAGCTTCGCTTTTAGTGGATCTAGGATGGATTTTTCAGTATAACTTTGTCACGTATCTCATTGAAGACGGGAATCAGGCTGAAACAACACTGTCTCCCCCCCCCCACACACACACATTTTTATCCTGTCTTCCTTCCAAGCAGCTCTAGGTGTTCTACACGATTTGCCTCTCTTCCACCTTATCCTCATCAGGGGTCGTTTCATAGAAAAGAGCTAGGGGAACTCATTAGCATAACTCATTAGCATATGCCACACCCCCTGACATCACCGGAAGTGTGTCATAAGGCCACACCCCCTGACATCACTAGAAGTGTGTCATAAGGCCACACACCCCGCCCCCAATGGTCCCGGCCGCCGCCGCTAGCCTTGCAGCTCCACTG